TGCATAACTATAATACTAAATTTTACAAATTACAAATCACTCAAAATCGTAGAATTATAATTTAAAAATTAAATAAACTATAATAATAATAATGGTTGACAAATCATTATGCGAAAAGACCCAGGTCTAACTGCAAGAACACAGGACCAACAATCTAAAAAAAATCTAAAAAAACAAATCTCTCATAATCAAAAATCACCATCTTACATATCAGAACAATATTTTTGGAGTTCCTTTTGAGAACGCTTCTTGGCTGAAGGTTTTTGCGAACAATCTTTGTAAATAACGATTTAAAATATTACGAATGATGATTGAAAGTTCTCTGAGATCCTACTAACTCCATAACGTTACACGGAACTCCCTTTGGTGTGTACTTAAAGTAATAATTAATTAATTAAGAAATGCAGCGAGGATATTTAGAGCGTAAGGGTAGCTAGTTTGAATTATTTTTTTTTATATATATATAATTTCTAAGATAAGGACGAGGAAAACCAGATGGAAATAACAAGTATGCACAGCTCTTTCATCATACCTGTACATTGTTAGTGTTAGCTAGTCAAGCAGGTTTTGCAAGAGGATCGACATACGAAGTATTCTAAAACAATTCGTCCTAATTTGATACTGCTATTTTTTGTGCAAATTTGATACATTTATTATATTTATCACACACGGAAACTTTTAGGACTAATATACATATATTTTAATATGAAAATAAAATTACGTTTGGAAGAGAAAATAATGTTCAAACGAAAACGAAAAATTTAGAATTATCTTTTTGGACTGAAAAAAAGCACAATGAAAAGGGGAGCATCTTTTTATATCGTAAAATATAATCTTCGATTCTCCGAGAAAATCTGAAAACAGAAGTATAAATATTCCCAACTAATAAGCGAGATATATACATTATTATGCAGTTCGATATTTATTATATAACGATGTTGATGTGAAATTCCATTGTTCCTATCGTTCTTGGATACCTTTTACGACGTCGATGGCATTTCTGTGCTTTTACAAGAGCATTAGAATCGCTATTAATAAGAAACATTTACCTGGTATGAACTGTCACTTGTAAATGTATTATACTCAAGGATTATGATATTAGATGTAAAGGTAGCTATTAAATAAAAGTTCTTTATGAACTTTAAATCTTGGTCTTTGTTTTCCTTTAAAATAAACAGTCGTGTTCATTAAAAAAACATCCTTTTTGATAAGAAGTGTAAAAAATATATAAGATGTATAAAAATAAGTATCTAGTTATACATATATATCTTATAATGGAGTAAACAGTAAATGCTTTCTACTGGTTGGTGAAGTTGGGTGGTCTCTTCTCAATGAATGCATTCATTCCTTCCTTCCTGTCACTCTGAAATTTTAATTATATACCATTCAATTTTTGTTTTTTAAAATTATTATATTTGAGAAAGAAATCCTTACTGTTGCAAATGTTCCATGGAACATTCTCTTTTCAAAGTGTAGCCCTTCCCTCAAAGTAGTTTCATATGCTAGAAAAACAGTAAAGAAATGAATATTTGATTAATGAATAAGAACAATGATGGTTACATAATTTCAATGATTACCAGTATTAACAGACTCCTTTGCCATGGAGACGATTAATTGAGAGTGAGAAGCAATTATCTCACCCAATTTGATTGCTTCAGCAACAAGTTTTTCTGCTGGGAAGATCTTGCTAACCAAACCTGCAACAAAACATGTCTAAATATATACATATAATGATATTCGTATATTATATACAGGATAATTTGTGATTCTTAGTAGGATAGAAATGCACAATTGGCAGGAAAGTATTCTATATGCGAAAATAAGTTGAAAATGAAGAATAAAACTTTGTCGCTTAAGATCACGTTTTTAAAATTAACCGGTACACGAGTATTAAGCAAATCTCCAAATTCGATTTTCTCGAAAACGAAATCTCCAATGTAATTACATTATTCTTGCTTTTCGTCTTATTTTAAGCCATAGAATTTCCCTGACTCCAGTTGTATTATGAGTTACAAACCACTTTGTCTACAACTTACTTTTCAGTTTCTAATAAACCTACCGCATTTCTCTGCCTCCTCAGCAGTGATCTGACCTCCTGTTAGTACCATTTCCATCGCTTTGCTCTTACCAATTACCCTAGTCAATCTTTGAGTACCACCTGCACCTGGTATGGTACCAATAATGATTTCTGGTTGACCGAACTTTGCCTTGTCTCCGGCATAGATGATATCGCACATCATTGCCAATTCACAGCCTCCGCCTAACTGTGTATAAAAATATACTATTTAATATCTAAGATATAAGCAAATATTTGTTTTATCTGCTAAATATTATACAGTGATTTGGATATTTGATATATTTCTGAAAATTATCAAGTTGCTATTTTTTTGTAAAGTATATTAACTTACAGCATATCCATTTACAGCGGCAATCACTGGTTTCGAAGTTCGTGTGATTGCGTCCCAGCTTGTAAGGAAGTTCCCTCTAATAGTCTGCGAATAAGTATTATTCTGCATTTCTTTGATGTCAGCTCCTAAACAAAAAAGTTCGCCGTTTAATTCTAATTGAATAATTCATTAATAATTTGCTAATGAATATTAATTATGGAGTAAATTATAAATAATCCATAATATAATAATTCTAATTTATTAATCTAATTAGTTAATTATAATTTCAATTACGACAAAATGTGTTTTACCGGCTGCAAATGCTTTTTCGCTGCCAGTAAGAACTATGGCCCCGATACTGTCGTTCGTATCCAATTTATTTACAGCATTATTTAATTCAGTCATCAATTTATCACAAAGAGCGTTTAAGGCTTTTGGCCTGTTTAACGTGACCAGACCAACGTTCTTCTTTTCGCCAGCAATATCTACCTTGATGAATTCATAATTCTGTTGAGCCTGACCTACAATAAAAGAATCTTTTAATAATAATTCCATTTTTGTATATCACTTGACTTGATTTCACACAATTGACGAAATAAATCTTTTGGCGCGAAAAATTAGTGGTTTGATTTGGAATTTAGTATTTCCCAAGGTTATAGATTTTTTCGCTAATTAAGTAGCTGTTTATTTACCGTTTAATTTAATTGCAACAGAATCTGAATCTTAATGAGATTCGAATTGCGCTTTTGCACAAGAAAAAGCGAGTTAAAAGTATCGGTTAAATATCGACTTTTAAAAATTAAATCGGTAATTACATTAAACTGTAAGCGAAAGTATATGTGGAAATAATAATATATGCATGTATAAAAACGAATACATTTTCTACTGTAAATGTGCATGTGACATAGTAACTCATTATTTCTTTGTCTATTCTTTCGCAAATGTATGTATCATATATGTAAATATATGTATGTGATATTCGCAAAATATATGTACAATATATACAATGTATGTATAATATATATCTATAATATACATACCATTTTAGTCAAAGGAACAATATATAATAATATAATAAATCTCGCTTAACTTAAATTTATACAAATTATAAACAAAAGATAAGAGTTAGGTGTGAATTAGACGTTATTTCATCTGGCCACCGAGAGGCGGCTGACAATCAATACTAACGCACATGCTACCACAGACGCACAGAATGTACAGAATTCAGTGGTACTGAAGGTTTTTTGCAAATATCTCGGAAACTAAGATCAAGCGATGGTTATGTGTATGGGAAAGTCGTTCAAAACCATATCCTCAACAGCATAGTAAAAGATCATCAAAATCTAAGATGACAGAGGTTTTTTAGGTAATTACCAAAGTTGAAAAAAGAGTATTGCTCCAAAACGAAGTTCAGCCATAATAATAGTTACCAAAAAAACAATATTTACACTATAGGAATGGTATTAAAATTAAGATAAAAGGAAGAAGTATCACTGAGTTCTTTACTATGACCTTTAACCTATAACTGATTATACTACTGCTTATATAATTGAACAGACCGACACATGAAAAATGTTGAACCAAAGTATTTTATAAACAAAAAGGGGATTTTACAAAACGGACCCTAAGATTTTGTAACAATCCTAGAGATCTGTGTAACTGCGTACTACAATTGATATCAAGTAGCGTTCTAAAAGCAATTTACATATTTTATCCTTCCTTCCCGGCAATTCAACTAGCAACATAGTACTTACAACAATAGTATTTCACGTTCCTCGCAAAATATTGTGGTTTTTGACCAATCTGCAATCCTTTGTTAAACAGAATTTGTCCAACGCGTATAGTAGCCATGATGCTTATTAGTAGGAATACTATTATTTGAGAATAAAAATAATGAGCTTAGGATGAAATGATAAGAGTAACTTGTCACGTACACTGTGCGTACGGGATAAACAAGATCCCGTGATCCACGTGGCTACTGGCATCAGTGGTGTATCTAAAGATCACTAAACCCTATTACTTTCGCTAAAAAGACCAGTACATATAAATAATTTCCTTCGATGTTATTTTCACATAGAAATATTACAAAATACATATTTCATGCCATATATATGATTTATATGGCAAAATGCAACTATGAATTGCATTTTCATGAGGGAGTTCAATGCAAGTCGCTAAACATGTTTTGCTTCAATAATTATGTGAAAAGAATTTCGCAATCTGAATAAGTTTATCAAAACAATTTGGTATGATGTAATTTGTGGGAGAAAACATGTTTGTTATTTTTTTTATATAATTTGAGTTTTGTAGTTTATTTTGAAGATAGACATTTGTACTTACATAAAGTAACAATCTGAGATATATTATTTTATTATACAAAACATTTAATATTACGGTTTTACAAAACCACATGTTAGAACTAGTTTTCGCTAATGTAAAAAGGTATCTTGAAAATTCTTTTCAAATTATATTCGAAAATTGACACATGTTCATGATTGAGAATGAGCTATGAGACTGACATCTTTGCTCCATCCGATAAAAGTAGCTTACAGTTATATGTCGCAATCGATAAGGTAGGTAAGTGGGAATAAACATAAAAACAAATAGATTACGCGATGACGGAAAAAGACGAGATTTATAAAATAATTCCATTGCAGGGATTGACTAACTTGCGTAATGCAACTAATGAGTAAACAAAATAATTATAATCTTTTCACTGTCGTATCTTATTTGATCGATGACTCAGATGATCCTGAATATAGACAACCAGATGCATTTCTTGTATCAGTATCACGATTGAGTTGTTAATATCTCGAAAGAAATAAAAAAATGTTATTTTATTGACCTTTATATAAGGAGAATTAATCTACTATTTTGTAAGATAGATAAGCTTACCAATATAGTATTCAAACAGTATCTTTATCTTTAAATACAAATATAGGAATATCAACGTATGATTAAAGATTTAAAAAAATAGAAGATTGTAAATAAATTTTGAATTAGAAGAATACATAAATTTCCCCTAATATCGTGAACTAATTAATTAAAAATTAATTAAAGAAATTTTTACTGAATCGAAGAAATTGATTTAAAAGATTTTAGAAATAAATCTGCTCTAATTTTAGTGTACTATGATATTTGTAACAACGATGACTTATATATGACATTGGAAGGTTTATCAACCTCAGTAGTATAAAAAGAACTGAAATAAAAATATAGATGTATGTCAGGGTGAAAGTATTAGGGGATTCAGTGTTAAAGTGGAAGTCAGCCAAGGGCAGGTAATAGTAGAGATTGCTTTCTGATGTGTGAACTTGAATTCTCTGTCAGTTCACGGACGTTCATCTGGCAACGTCATGCAGGTACCGCTACATGTCGTGCTGCTTCTTATATTCACTTTAAGAGGACAATTCGCGGGTAATTACAATATAAGTATTAATTAGAATGCGGATCTTTGATTCTACTTTTATTATCTATTTCATTTAACTATTTATTTACTATATATTCCACAGAATTATTTATGTTTATTTATCATTTAACATTTATTTCCAAACGATCAAGACGACCAAAACGACTTGGACTTTGGTTTTTTGCTCTAATGTCGAAACAACTCTGTATTATCGAAATGTAACATCCGTTTTTATTGAACTCAAAGACCCGATGGCATTCATTAATCGCAGAAACCGATATAATAACCAGCAAAGATCGATTTCTTATCGATGAAGAAAATAACAAAAACGTTATTTATTTATCTCAGAGGAAATTTGGGAGCAAGATTTGTCCATGGACATGCAAATTGGGGCTTCCACAAAAGGATATGATCTGGTCGCCTTACGCTGTGGGGCAGAAAGAATGGTAGTGGGTCTGCAAACATCGGAAAATTTTTCAGGTGTGATATACACACGAGGTAGTTTCTATTCCAGACAACCATCGTGTTTCTTGAATCCTGATCATGGTGGAAACTTCACTATGACTATTCCCTTCGACCAGTGTGACACAGAAAATGTAACTACATCGTAAAGTCTGCTGTAAATTTGGAAAAGTTACTACGAAATAAGTTAGAAATAATTCACTGGTTTAAGATATTTTTTTCAGGTTGATAACAAATATCGGAACACCTTGGTTCTTCAGCATGACGATGAGCTAATTACTCCTGGTGACGCTGCTTTTATCTTGGAGTGTGACTTTTCCAAGCCCAGAGATCTCATAGTGTCAGCAGAATTGCCTGGAACTGATAAAAAGTAATTAGGTTTTTGTTAAATGAAGATTTTGATTTGAAACATGTTAGATCATATACTTAAATTTTTGGATCTTTAAATTCCTCATAAATGCATAAAAATCTTTAGAAGAAACGAAGCCGTGTACTATGTTTTTATTTGTAGAGAGGTAAGATCGAGTATATCTCTAGTGGACGCCGATCCAGGAAGAGATAAAACGAAGAGGTCTGGGTACGTGGAGAGCGATACCAACGAAGTTGTCTTTGTGCCTAACTCGGTCATCAAGATTAACGACGAGTTATAGATCATTGTCTAATACATTTTGTAATAAAGCTTACTTCTATTTTTAAATTTTGCTTCAAACTATCTAATATAATTATAATATAAATATTTAATATAAATAAATATAATCTATTATAAATATTTCAATTTAACTTAATACTCTCTAAATAATCCCATAGATAATCAACAATCTTTGCCAATCTTTTAGATTAGAAACTTGTTTATTCCCTTTTTAAAAATATCCTGTTATGATAAATACTTCAAGCTCAGCCTGCAGAAAAATTCTATTACATCCTATTTTTTATGTTCAATTTTCCATGAAACCTTCAACTAACTTTGAGAGTGATGAAACTGATCAATGAATCTGATTATTAATTAACTATCAGTAATAAAATTCCACTGTGATTTACGCAATGAAATTTTTTCGCGGCGACAACAGGATGTCCATGAATGACGTTAGCTCGTTGCACATGCGATACGATAGTCTGATAACCTTAGAACAAATTAGAAATTACTATATTTACGCTTACATAATGCACTAAATAGTTAAAATAGTAGGTCACGCATGAAAACCAGAAGAGAATAACATGATAAATCACATTTTTGTTGTATCACGGCTGTAGATCTTTTTATTCCTTCTGTTTTTAAAATTAATATGCATTTCTACCATTCTCTTTTATTTGTATCTTTAATTTTGATTTAAAAGATTAATTAGATTTTTTTATATAATAAGTTGCTTCCATCTCAACTTTAACCATCAAGTAACATAAGACCCAGGAGATCAAGATAAATTTGGAAATTTTCTCACCCCCACATCTAAAAGAATTTTCCAATAATTATATTCAACAATCATTTTGACAAATTTTTATGTGAATCATTAGTAGTCTAAAATGAGACCTCTTTTAAATTCTGTAATCATAACATAATTATCAAAGATCAATTTTTCTGAACTTGCACTGAGATTAAAGTTTGCCACTGAATAAGTCAATAAAAGGTCAGTCGATAATTGGATCGACACCAGATAAAAAAGTCAGAGGACCAAAATAAATACACAGGATATTGACACTCTTACAACAGGAGCTAACAATTTTCCACTTCTGGCTACGAAATGTTCATATCTCATACAGAATATTTCAAAAGTGTCACAACTCAAAATAATTCAATTCTGTATTAGAAGAATATTAGAAGATCATTGTTTTCTATATTCTATTCTTCTTGTTAACTTATGCGTTTAATAAGGATAATATTTGTTTTAAACTTTCAAATAGTCTTTTATTTTTCCTGAAAAACTTGTTTCAGTTGTGTCATTTTTGAAATACATGTATGATACATGTATTACAGAAACGATTAGGTGTTAATGAATGAACAGAGTAACGTTAGACAATTGCTACAACTGGACATTGACGATTTCGATGCTTTATATGAATGAGGGACTCGTTCTTATTAATCGAACGATTAACTGTATTTGATATATTCATGCCAGCTTGATGGCTATCTTAATGAGGCCAATATTTGAACCATAGCTATTTCATGAATTTACGTATGTTAATCGCACACATCTCTCCCCACTATCGTTGATCAGCTCATTTATATACATATATAACAGGCCCATCGTTCCAGACTGTCTTCTACCGATTGACGAATCCGGAGATCCATATTTTACTTATTTATTTAATATTTCATATTCCTAACAAGATACAATGGCAACTGCAAAATTCAAGAGTGCCTCACCTTACACAAAACCACAACCAAGGCCTCCACAGCAGGATTATCTTTATCAAAAGTGAGTATTTTTCCAAGTAGATCGTTCCAGTTCATTGAAGGTTTTGTATAGAATTTAATTAATGCAAACCAGATATTCTTCCCTTCCCTTCTTTTCATTATATGATATTCTATCCAGAGCAGAATTGACCACTTTGTAACTGGAATGAAAACAAGAAATTAATTTGTTTGAAAATAAATTCCAAAATCTTATTTGAGAAATAAATTATTCCAAAATGACATCTACCTATTGACATAAAATATGTGTCTTGGAAACAATTCTCTTATATTTTACTTTTCTTCATCTCTTCTCTTTTAATATGTTCCAAGCCGGTTGTTGAACGTTATCCTAGACTCATATAGACTACTTAGTTCGCTCTTCCTTTTCCTCTTTCATGACTGAAAATGGATTAAATGTTATTATAGGTATCTGGAGGATCTGACACTGAGGAAGGATCTACTCCATCCTAAAGTAAGACTTGCTCTATTTGGAATCGGCCGTGCTGGAACCATCCATCTGTCCAATATTATTAGCAGTTCGCGTGTCAAACTGCTCTACATCGTAGACAATGTCGAGTCTAAATGGATGAGCCTCAAGGAGTACTGGCAACTTGACGATGTTGTCTTCTTGAACAGCAAACAAGCAGACAAAGTGTACAATGATCCTAAGTAAGTAATTTAGATTTTCTTATGGGAAACATTTTAGGTACAATAAAAGATGTATATATCGCAAAATTGATCAAATGAGTTAGATTTTTAAATAGGAAAAATTAAAAATAACAAATCATTAACTAGCAAATTTAAAAGAAACTTTCAAAAAGTCACTTGCTTCTTCCAAACCCAAACATTTCCATTACAATTACTTAATTTCATGATAAAAATATCCAAAGTAGATTAAACTCGAGAGAAAACATAGAGATCAATTAGAAGTTCAATTAACAATTAAAATCGTTCTTCATGTTGATAGTGTGGACGCAGTAGTTGTTGCATCGCCTACGTACACACATGAAGACATTGTAAGGAAAGCTTTGGAGGCGAAGAAGGCAGTGTTCTGTGAGAAGCCGATCGCCGAGGACAATGCTAACTCGATAAAATGTTACGAGACCGCGAAAAAGGTCGGCAAACCATTGTTCTGCGCCTTTAACAGGCGATTCGATCCCAGCTATTCTGCTGTTAGGAGCAGAGTGAGGAATGGAGAGATTGGACACGTTCAGATCATCAAAACTGTCTCTCGTGACTCTCCTCTTCCCAGCATAGAATATTTGAAGATGTCCGGGGGTATATTCCATGATTGTATGGTCCATGATATTGATATCATGACTTGGGTCCTTGGAGAGTACCCTATCAAGGTGAGATTCCCTGGATATTGCTATCAAACACTTGTAGTTGGAGTTTCAAGTAGAATAATTATGTAGAATATTGGATTAGTCCTTCACTGATACCATGGAGACCTGAATTTATAAATACTACAGCATTATAAAGAAGTTTCCATGATTTAAAAGGATTCTAACTTCATAAAATTATAGAATACAGGTAGAAGTAACTAATAGTTACAAAAATCTTCAGTTCTAATTAAAAACAGAATGTAGCTTTGATTTTTAATTGCTACTATGAGCACTTAAAGTCAATAAGTATCACAAGATCATTAAAGGGTTTCATAAATAACTATTGGTAATGTTGATTTCTATCCTATTGACTGGTATTTGATGAATTATTAAATGTTGGAATATTTTCTTGCAGATTGCTGTCCAGGCACACGCACACATTCCAGAGATAAAAGCAATCGATGACTTCGACACAGTTGTAGTGTCCTTGTATTTCCCATCAGGAACCTTGGGGACCATCGACTTGTCGCGGAACAGTAGCTTCGGTTATGATCAACGCTTGGAGGTGTTTGGCCCCAAGGGTATGATCAAAGCAGATAATGAACAGCCAATGCACGGTGTCACATCCCAATATAATCTCGACGGATTAACCAGCGCACCAATATGGTATTCGTTCGCCAGCAGATTCATGAATGGCTATCGCCGAGAGCTGGACCACTTCATTGACATTGTACTTGGTAGAGCTGAATGCTCCGTATTACCCAAAGAAACTCTAGCTGTGATTAAAATCGCGACTGCATGCCAAGAATCTGCTCGTACCGGCAAGATGGTGGAAATAAAGTGGGCGCCAAACGAGCTACCATAAATGAGGTCATGGTCTAGCGAATTTTTATCGTTCCCATGATATTCCACCATTTTGTATCTTATACGATCGTGATAGATTCACAGAAAGTTGAGATTATCTTCGCTGAATCATGATTTGCACGCACGAGTGAAAAGACTTAGGTGAATCTTGTTTGTTACATGTTTTTTTCCTCTTTTTTTATCGGTATAATAATATAAAGAAAATACAGAAAAATACCATATACCCTAAATATATAGTAATGATACAAAATTCACATTGTCTGTTAGCAGACTCAATCATGAAAGTTTGTAAGAACGAAACAATAAAATATTCCCAAAGTTTATTCGTGTTTCTCTTTTCTTAATTCCTTACCCTTTGAAATAAAAAAAGAATTAATGCAAAATTCTTTCTAGATTGGTCGATGCGTGATTGGTTTACATTACAATATTCTCTTTTTTTCGTAAATAATAAAATTACAGAAGTGAAACTAATGTATTCTTGGAGGTATCGCAAACTGATTTTTAGTCGCGAAGCTCGAAATGTCCGTCAAACCGTGCAATATGTCTCTTTGATTAAAACATTATCCTTTCAGAAGTCTATTTTCTTTTATCTAATCTAGTAAGTAAAAATTTTGTGAGACATCTACAAATGTGACGCAACTTTCACGAAAGACAATAAGCTGCTCCCCTAACTTATGACTTTGTTTTCAAACCATTTTATATTTACTCCTAAAATTGTGTATTGCAATAATGGTAGGCTAGGTTATCAGAGCACGCTGACTTCCACTTAAAATTCCAAATTCGATTCATTTCATTTCTGTATATCTAGCAAAAAAAATATAAAAGTCGGAGAAGATATATGTAGCTTTACTCTGAAGTAGCCACTTATTAATTAAATGAAATATGATATCTATACATACATCATAATATCTGCTCGACGAAATAAAATCTGAAACACCATTTCATGCTAATTGTCGAGCAGTGAGTATGCTTGCTTGAGCTGAGTTTCGATCGTGTGGTTTCCAGATTTTATAATAATCGATATGAAAATTCGCTACCAAAAATCAAGTACAAATTTTCCATTCCCTTATCTTTACTGTTCAAACATGGAAACCCCCACAATTTCTCTTTTCTTTCCTTGTTGCTTTATAGTCTAAAGGATTTCGTGAACAACGCATCGGTGGCTTGAGTTTTGTCTCCATTAAATCTACGCAGTTCCGCGATGACCTGTACTCTGCTGAATCCTAGAGATTCGATTTCTTTCACTGTTTCTTCTGTGAATGGGTCGTGGGGGAAGACTGTAGTTTCTATGGAGCCTAGTCTGCTTGATGTCCCGCTTGAACTATTGCTTTCTTGCCCTTCTAAAATACATAGTACTCATTAAAAAAAATTAAAAAAAATTCTAGCAAGCCACAAATAAAACTATAAAATTAAAAGCCATAATTATAAATTATCTGCTTCAAGTCACTAGTCCAGGCAAGTTAGGAGGATTTGTCTCAGTTGGATCTCCCTAGGAAAAGGAAAGGTACAGTGGCTAACATATAAGGCCTTGTATCAAATTCAGCTGCATAAACTTCAACATTGAAAAGTAAATAATAGCGATAATATCACAAGCATTACTTTTGAAAATTTTCCTTGGATTTATAAATATATCCTTTTTTATTGCCACCACTAAAAGTCGAAATACACAATAGAGGAACATATATACAAAGGAAATTTATTGGGTTTCATTATGGAATGTTTCACAAATTATTTAACACAGGATCTTATAAGGAATTATGGTAAGAAAGGATAGCCTGGACAGATACATACTTACCCTGCTGGCGACGTTGCTTCTTTGCATCTCTGGAGCCATAATCCAGTGCTCTTTGAGGTCCTCCCCTCTTGTCATCCTTATCATCTTCTGTGTCGTAAATACTTGCATCGCTATAACCACTTAACCTTAGCCACTCTGGCAGCTCCCCTAATCAGAATTAAGCATTTATGTTGTATAACAGATAAAAAGACATTGTGCAACCATAGAAATATTTAAGACCACCTTCTGCTAAAAACGGCGTCTCTGCACCGGTGGTGCCAATTTGGAGCACGTTTTTCTTCAAATCTATGCAACATTGATGCCTCTTTAACATGTCCAGACCCAGTAGCATGTCCATGCTTTGTTCCGCGAGGACAGTGAACGATGTTGTTAGATGATCATTACCAATTTGAATTTGTACCATGTGAATACGGCCAATGATGCGTTGAGTTCCAACACCATGTGCTATTCCAGCCCACCTTGTGTCCACCAATCGCATTATGTGGCATCGTTCGGCACAAGCATCCGACATTATAGTTGATTGTGCACCTGAATTTTTGAAAACATAATGTTACTATATATTGCGAAATGTTTTTTTTTTTTAAGAGGAGCAAATTCATGGAATTTTTGAAGACAAAAGTACAGTCTAGGTCAGAGCACGGATTTCAATATCTAAATTTAAATTTCTCCCACCATGAAGTACCACATACTACAAAGAATGACTTTCAAAATGCAGGAATTTAAAAATAGATACATTGGCACAAACAGCAGCCAAACAAAAATACATAAAAATGATCTTGTCTCCAGTTCAATGATGATCTCTGACATTTATCACTGCGCATTTACGCACGTGTATAACTCATTATTTATAAATATAAATAAAGCTGATATTTACCAGTATCAATAAATGCTTTAACTGGGAATCCATTGACTTTACAATTAACATATAACATAACAACTGATCCAAATGTTTCTGGATTATACTCCATTGCAGCTTCCATGTTTGCTTCAATGTTTTTTTGCCTAATATCCTCTGCAATAAACCTCTGTGCTTCTGTGTCAAATGGATCTGCATTCATCATTCTTAGTCTTTGTGCCTCACGCTCTTCTCTTAATTTTATTTGTTCTCTGAGTACAGTTGTAAATCTCTCTACAAATCAGTATCTATTGTAGAGTAAATTCTTAGATTTCCAAAATACAGTTCTTAATATGTACTTTTGGAAAACTCACCAAGATTTCCAGAAAGTAAGGCACTAGCCAGCTTGGGATTATTCTGGCTCAGCAACGCTAGTTGATCTGGATTAGCCAAAAACATGTCTCTTATTATTTCTGGATCATCCTCCTTTCTAGGGTTTTGCATTCTGGCTATAGTGCTACTGGAAGCTGTTGGCTGTCGACTGCTGGATGATCCTGGTACTCTGATGGAACTGAAGTCCAACATGGGAATAGCTAGAGTAATATGTATCTTGGAATTTAGTACATTCTCTTCTTTACTACGCAATAGTGCGCTCTTAAATAATTGATCTGACTAAGCACATGGCGACAAAAGCTATTTCTAACAAATCAAACTCAACACAAGTGAATACAAAAAACTTGTGCTAAACTGAACCGGACAGGTGTGCGGACAAGATGAGAGGAACTTAGAAGATTCCCACACGAAGAAAAAAATATTCTAATAGACACTATTCTATAGTGAAACCAAAAGGGGGATAACATGCTCGATCGAGTCTGTTAAGCCAAATTCATGGATCGTGCGTTATAAGTCTGGTAACATCTGATCGAGAGACGTGACAATACAATGAAAAAGAAACGTAAATCGAAGCCGAAAAGCTAACCTCACGACCCGCCTCGATCGCCACTTTAAATAATGGTGCTGTATTGAAGCTGACCTCCGTTTAACGGGTGAAGGTTCAACTCGGCCCCGCTTTGATGCATGTGCTGCAAAATCACCACGTCACCGTCACGGATCCCGTGATCCTTCAGCGATTTCTTGTCGTTCATCAATGGTAGACCATTGAAAGCGATCACCATCTCATGGACTGGTACGTTGCTCTCGATCTCGCAAAGAGCCTTGAAACTCTCCAGCTCCATATCCTCGATCACGTCCAGGACGAAGATGTCGTCGCTGAGCGTGGTTACCGTTACCTTCATCGTGTGTGTGTTTTATCTAGTTGCTTGTGCTCTCGGTTCCGTGCGTGCACAACGATTGTACGATAGATACTAGGGGCAAGCAAGATGGGCAATGAAAGTGGTCACTGGATGGCAATAAAACTTCACGTGAGAATTTTTGCCGCTCCCCTCGCGCACGGGATGTCCGTACGAAGAGCGGCTACAGGATGTAAACAACAACCCAGCTCAGCGAAAATACTGGCTGGCTTTAAGGCTTGACCTGAAGGCTACTTAAATCGCCTCGAGATATCGAGAAGTAACGAGATCGTGAAATTGTGCCGATGAACAGACTGCGCGCCAAGCTTGAATTTCGATTTGAATGCGTCATTCTGTCATTTGTTGTTTTAGCAGAACATCAGCGTATTGAATAAATTTTTCTACACAATATACACAGACAGATTACTTTGACAGATATGATCGAAAGTTTGCGGAGGTTGGTGTTGTGGGTTATGTTATTATATATTGTTCAACAACCTTAAGATGGGCGTTTTTTAAATTATCACGGAAATAGAAATTTCTAAACTTTGATATTCCATTTGTTTCAGTCATAGATTAATTAACTAAATCTTTTCTTGTGTGAAAAATAAATTATTGACTGTAGCTACAATAATACTGTATTTTGTACCATTATATTATTTGCTCCATTTTTCTGGTCAGAGGAACATCTCTATCTTTTTGATTAGTAATAAAGCAGCTCGAAATCAAATTTTCTAATAACATTGAGTAGATTGAAATATGTATTTAAAATATTGAAATCTAACCGAGATTCTTTTCGTTCTATCCTTGGCGGATAATCTAGAATCCTACATTACATTATCGTCAACAGAGGGCAGACCAATGAACTTCAACTTTCTAAACCCAAGATATTCAAACAATAAAAATTGCTGGTTATTACTTAAAAAGTTATTCTCTTCACCTATATATTTCAAATTGTACGGACAGATTCCACACAACTCCACAGATGTTAAAATGTTTGCATAATGTCAGGCTCATGGACTTGCAATGGAGCAAATCTCGTTGGGATCACAATAGCAATAATCGGGATGTCGATTTATCATAGATTTCAATATCTATAATCAACGTTTACTGAGGAACCCTGTGTGCGCACAATTTGAGAATTAAATGTCCCATACATGACGCTCAGATCGACGTAACGATAACCTTATCTCCCACAGTGAATTGATCTTATCTTGATCATCCTATTTTCAAAGCAGCCTGTGGTATCGATAATTTTCAACCCAATACATTTATTTCACCTAAGAAAATTATAGATTTTTGTGTACCAACCTTTTCACCTTAGATAAAGAATATTTCCTGATTCTCTGAAAATTTACCGTCTTTTGGAATATTTTATGATAAGGAATCGACCCTATGGAGGAAAAAAGTATGGGCTAAAGGTGGTGCAGTGAAGCATGCAACGTTCAGGGGATCCTGCCCTCCTGGAGGGCGCGACCACGAGGACACCACAGGGGGTGCCATCCCCCATAAACCGGAAACGGATGCAGAGGTGGATATTAGACAGGTGGCTCAGAATTTCGCGTTGGACAGGGCTGATGGTTAAATTAGCGCATGATTTCGACGGCTCGCTCGATTACACTCGGAACAGGATGTGTCACGACAAATATCGCGCAAGGTGTGTTTGTAATGTTGTATAACACTGTTTCACGCTGTTTAATGATGCTTCCTATAGTCTGTAGAAGTTTGTATGTCAATAAACAGCACCTGAAAAAGTAACAAAAATATTAGGAAGATATTACTATGTATAATAAATACAATAAATAATTAGAATGCAACGCTGTCTCACGTGGTTTGATGATTTTTTGTAGAAGTTTATAAAAGTTTGTAGAAGTTTATGTACCAATAAACAGCACCTGAAACGGAAATAAAAATGTTAATTAAATTTTAAATAAAATTGTATAAGATCAAATGATGTAAATGATATATTTATATGATATATCATACGTATATTTTATTGTAAAATTGATTAGTGTGAAAGTTTTGAAACAGGGATTCCATTAGAGGGTATAACAGCCTACTGTAGGGCTGCAAATCGATTAAGCTTTGGAAGATGAATCGAGAGTGGGTATAAATCGATTTCACACTCCTGCTGAGTATAAATTAATAGACACTTATGGGGTTGTCTGTATTTCGAGTGGGTACCAGGATGTTCCCCGGGATTGTACCGGCTACCAGGTGTTGGACATGGGTTCCCGGGTGCAAGGATGTGCCATAGAAAATCGGTTAGGCATGGAGAGCGAGTCTTTTCGAGGAATGATGCGCTTTTATGAACTGCAATCTCTTTGTTTGCATTAAAATAATTCGCCCAGAATATAAATAGCATACTGAAAATTAAAATAAAGTATATTACATTAAATTGAATAGTTGTGATGATAGGAATCTCCACAATTTCCTCCCCTCTAATTTTCAAGGTTAAATAGTAATGATAATTTTTTTAGCGATTATAAAAAATAAATATTACCTTCTACAGCAGTGCAATTTATTCGTTTCGTATTTAGTATTTAACTTCGAATTGAGGGCACACGTGCCCAGGGGATTTGCCATTTAAATCTGGCCCCCTTTGGTTATCTCTCGATCTCGAGGATCAAAAATCCAGCCACACAATGGTCCTGTCCCAATCCTGTGTTTTTCTTTTGGATTAGATCCAGACAGGCTGCGGCTTCCGATCTTCAGATTCGATTTTTTCACAATCAATCTTTGCACCTGCACCTTGCGCCATTAAAAACTATTTCATTCGTTTGTACAATCAATTATTGATAATTCATAGTTGTAAAAAACTTTCTCTTACGCAAATTGCAAATTAAACGTTTCTGAATTAAAGCAGAAAATTATACTCGTGGGAAAGGAAAAAATCGTTTCCTAGATTTTCCCTGAAACAACAGATGGAGCGAATAATTCATCCTGATGCAACGGGCCCTCTTAATTTGTAGCGTGTTAATTGTCTAGCCTCGGTGGATACGTTCAGTAGGAAGTTTTGTGGGAAATCGATAATGGCTCCTACTTTATATCCTGTCGGCGCTTCAAAGAAAATCTTTTGATACCTTCAAATATCCTAAAATTAACATTTCCTTCCGTTTTATCGTATATTTTTAATAGAAGAATTATTAGGATACTTTCCGGTTTTACTCCTATTTGAAGTTTGATATCTCACATTTTTTAGAACCACCACTTTTACTAGAAATTCCTCCTCCAATTTCAGACAAATTTAACTTTCTTCCTTTCTTCAATCCTTTTTGGATATAATATTTTCGGATTTCTTTTTAAGGAATAAAATTATTACAAGTTCTCCACTGTATTATATTGGATTTGACAGAATCTTTTTTCTTGAAAGAAAATTCAGGATATCTTCTCTTCTTTATTTTCTGAGGTTCTATATTCTTCCACAGGATCCACAGGAAATAATGAATGTTGGGGACTAGCGAGTTTCATGGTTGTCCATAAAAAGAGCATCCAAGGGAATCAAAGGTGTAACGGAGAAAGAAATTAGGGGCACGTGTCGTGCACGTGTACCGAAAACACCGTGCAAGGGTTTACTCGGGGGTTAACCACTTCTGCGACATTTGGCCTAGCCGGAGCACCGTGTAATTATGTGGCCCGTAACAGGTCCGATATGATTGCTTCTGTATCATTATCGTGCCGCAAAATTATATTATTTAATAGCGCAACAATATGTTTCTGTGAAACTTTGTGTCACGTGAAAGAAAGTTTTCCAAGCTTTGCACGATATGTACTTTTTAATATAGAGCTGTTATTCTTTAACATATTGTAGTCAGCTTTTTGTTAATTTTCTCAGTTAAATTCAAGTACGATATTTGACATTGATAAAAGTTCTAATACAATCCTTCCATTACGAATCGAATCTTCTAATCTTCTGAAGAAAAATGTCCTTTGGTTAAAAGTTTCTTTACGTAATTTCCTTTCTCTAAATTCTTTCTTAAATCCATTACTTTTCCTAAAAATCCTTTTTCCAATTGTTGAATTCCTTCCTCCGATTCTTGCTATATTTACTTTCTTATCATTTCTCCTACATTTCTTCCTTTCTTTAGTTCACCAAAATCCTTTGTCCAGTTTCTATTAAATCGTATAGCCGATCCTCTTCTTGTAATTCTTTTCCAGATTCTTTCTTATTCCAATTTTTATACGACACTCGCTTTCAACCAATTTCCACCGAATTTACAGCTTCTTTCTTAAACTTCCTTTATCCATATGTATACGACAACTGTCTAACATCTAAAATATCCATCTTGGTGTGCAAATTCGATTCGTAAATCTATTCAATTCGCATTATCGCCCTGTTTCTTCAATCCAGAACCTCCCTGTTCCTTATCAGATCGATGAAGAGGCGGAACCAGCAGCCAGGCAACTAGGGGTAGGTAGGCTCCACCACCAACTAGCTCGACGAATGGGGATGCAGCTAGACTTTCAACCCCAGGAATGGCTTCCCTACCGCTTTTCTCTTTCAGTTTCGACAGACTACCTGAACCAGTGCTCATCAATGATCCACAGTTCCATTTCACCTTTCTAACAGCCTAACATTCACTCAACTGTTCGATATTCTCTCTTTCACCTCAAATCCAAATAATTATACATACTAACAATACCATGTCAGTGATTTTCCTATCTTTTCTCTTACGAGAATCAATTTTAACATCAATACAGTAAATACACTGTTACTCATAAGAATTTGGTTATTAGTGGATCCGTGAATGTGGTAACAATATAACAGTTTTATCAAAGTGTACGAATTAATGCATTAACCCATTAGGTTCCAAGCACGTTTTAATTTATCACGATTTTGCAACTTTTCTTCAATTTTTTCAAGATTTCATAAGATCGTAAAACCCAATTTAGTGTGAATGATGTGCGTCGAACGTCCGACTAGAAGTTTGAAGAATCTGAACTATGAGTGGAAGTGAAGAGAACGTTGTCCAGGAAGAAGATCGAGGATGAAGAGATTGGCTGATGGTTTCCTTACATCCAAAGTGGTTGCTCGGTTGTCTGGAAGAGGAATTTTGAATTAGATCACAGTATGACCAACAAGGAAGGATTGAATATATTGTGTTAAGTGTCTGGACAAACCTGGACACGTGCCCTGGCTTCCTCCTGGCACGTGCCGCTGTTTAGAAGTATTTCCTAGCACGCGCTGAGGCCACGTGTCACGTCGATGGTATCGGTGATCCTCGGGACGTGATCGAGGGTGCTTGCATTGGAATTCGCTGGAAATTTCAACAAAAACTGCCTGCTGATCCCAGTTTAATTGAATCCATTCAATGTTCCTTGCATTGAATTTGAAGAATTGTCTCTTCTGCGTTCAGAAAACGCTGTATAACGTTCCAGGAAGCACTCAGAAATTATACAGCAGCGTCGTCCGTGATCTCAATAATCTGTTTAATATTTCCTGTATTAGGTCGAAGATATTGGTTCTTCCGCGTTCAAAGAAGACTATAGTGTCCATATAGACATGGCTTAGAGGTTGTATAAAAGCATTGTGACTGATCCCAAGGATGGTTCTTGTATTAAATTTGAATGTGGATCCCATTTGAGAGATTCTCAACTGGAAACTACAGTGTGAAGTCAAACGTTCAAAGTATCCTGTAACTCGTGATGGAAACGTTTGAATCCCAGATGAGAGATCCTCAAGTAAAAACTGCAGTGTAGAATCAAATCTTCCAAATTTCTACATCTATCTAAATAGGATTAATAAACAATCTTATAAACGACTATGTAAGAGCATTTCAATGACTTAATTTGAACTAGTCAAAGATTCTAGTCACTATACCAAAGAATTTATCTGAGATACACACGTACCAAAGAAATTTAAGTATAAGACAAGCTTCTTCAAGATGTATTCTATGGATAATTTGGAATTAGACATGATGAATCGCCAGTACATGTACGAGGCTCATAGTTTCCTTGGAAATCCTGCGATTCCAGCTCTGCCACCGCATTGCGGAGCACCTACCACGGCTACGCTGCCTTCGATTCCGTCGCAGCTAGCTTCTCATACTGCTGGCAGTACTGGAAGTACCAGTGGCAGTGAAATTTATTTATATGACGAGAACAGCACCGACAATGAGAGCGCTTACAGCAGTGACCAGGAAAACCACACCAGAGAGTGAGTATTACCTGCGCAAATAAATTTTTATTAAAATTATTTTCATATTTATTTTTATTCAAAACAGCGTTTAAGTTAGCTTCTGATATTTTGTCAGTACTGCGAGTCAGAGTATTTTTATATTAAGAAAATTTCTTCCTCTGTCTTCTACTTTCTCGTGGCCCATATTTACACTGAATCTCACAAACATCTCAAGGATATATACAAAAATTGTCGTCCAAAGATCATAATTCCAACAAATACAGTTCAATAATACAGTTCTTCTACTATTTTGAAGGATTTTTAAACCTAACTTTCAAAGAATCTTAGAAATGTCTTCAAAAATAGGTGTCTAGAGATCATTATTCTATTAAAAACAGTGTAATAATGATTTCTAGACGAAGTCAGAGCAACAGAAGGAACGGGGCAACGGGAAAAAGTCCAAGGCAGGCGGTGCAACAGAGGCAGGCTGCCAATATGAGGGAGAGGAGACGTATGCAGAATATAAACGACGCCTTTGAAGGCCTTAGGGCTCACATACCAACTTTGCCCTACGAAAAGAGACTCTCTAAAGTAGATACATTAAAATTGGCGATCGGTTACATAAAGTTCCTGAACGAACTGGTCAGAGCTGACAAGGGCAACGATCCTCTGACAGGAAACGGAGGTCTCTCGAGGTGCTCCGGTCGAGACGACACTAAGAAGGTCATAATTCGTGGTGAGGCCAATACCGATCGCACTCACATCTCCTTTCTATCATATCCACGTCGTCTTTTCCTTTTTCTTTTTTTTTTTTTTAATTTATTGAGCTAAACTGTGATAGATTTTACCTATCAATTGGCTTAAATTGTCTTTTAGATTTACCTGTCATCCTTGCAGAAGGATTTTTGTGATTTACAATAATATATTTGACGCTGTTCTTTTCTTTACTCTTTTATGCAAAACAATAAATGGATTACAAACAGTGATATAAAATCTTAATTAACAAGCACATCGAATTTCGGCCTATCTGGTTTTTACAGACTTGTTTCATTGACAGTTTGTTAACAATATTATTGAACAAGTTTTACAAGCAACCAAATCCTATAGTTCGAGTAATAAACAAGGAGAAGAGAATATTTAATTTTATTAAAATTCTGATGGTTATTTCAATAGAAATTAAGCTCCTTGATATACTAATTTTGATTAATAATCAAATTTCAGGCAGCGAGGGGAACCCATTCATTTTCCATTCTTTGTCCTGGTCTAGGAAGTCGGACATCTCCCCGAATGGGACGATGTACGCGAAAGTCTGGACCCCGGAGGACCCAAGAACATCAAAGAATGGCTCGACATTCGAATAAAGTGCTCAGGTGTTAATTATTAAGTGCGTCGAGCCTGTTATTTAGTATCTAAGGACAGAAATTTCTAGTCGATCATTCATTTTTCCTAATTTTTAATCGTACCAAAAGAACAACATTTGTTAACAAAAAAAAAATTATGCTAATTAATTATCCTGTATCTCTAGTCGATTTTAACACGGTTGGACAGTATTATTAAATTATTATTGTTAACATTATTTAGTTGTCCTATATATAGACAGTATCGTTCTTTAAATTAACGTGTCAATGGAATTTCAGATAGGAATTAAATAAGAAATTCCTATAGAATGTGAAGAACATGTGTAACTTCTTTCAGTTTTTTTAGACGTGCTCAAAAAACAGCGAATCTACGCTTAGTAAATAGAGGAAAAGGAAATACATAAAAATTCTGTCAGGAGTTTTTCTCTTCTTTTAAGTAATCCATTGATTTCTCTATTGTCTGACAGAATTCATGTTACTATTGTACATATAAAGTGAGTAAAAAAGTGTAAGCAGATATTGTTTGTACGTGAAATGTGAATATGCAACAGAATGATTGTCAACGTGATTGCCATCCAAGCCAAATAAAGTAGGTTCTTCAAGTTTCAAACTGTTTCATCTTTTGTTACCATGAATTTTTTATATTTTGCCGTAATTCCTGCTTTCTTCCATTCTTTCTCTTTTATTATTGAAGCAGCAGTTAATGAAGTTTACTTGGATAAGTTAAAATTCCAATATTCTGCGCACTTCCTGATAGGTGTACATAGTTCTTTTAGAAATCAATAGTCTTCCCACTGTAGCTCGTTAAAATTTAATCCGAAACCTCTTTGCTTGGTTCAGAGAAAACTGAAACCAAAATAATTTTTCTTGAAGTAGCTTTTCTTTAATTTTCAAATTTCTACAATTTCCGTCAATTTTCCAGTCTTCCAAATTTTTTATACCTTTCCATCTTCAATTTGTCTCGTTCCTCTTAATTAATTTTAACAATTTATGTTACCAAAATTTTTTCAGCGCGAAACAGACTCTATTTCATCAAATGTTCAGTCCAAGACTAATCTCTCAATCTTTTAGACTTTTTCATATCTTCAATTTTCCTTGTATTCTTTTCCTCCATTTGGTATAATTTAAAAAGTTTATTCCCCAAAATTTCATCAAGATTCAATGCAAAGTAACGTAAGGAAAATAAAGAATGTGTTTCCCGAGTGTCCAAGAAGTGGGACAAGGCTTTGAATGTAGTATTCTTCGCAACGAAATGGCGGAGGACTCCGAAAATAAAAAGGGTAGAAGCTGCGCCAAATTCTGGCGTACAGTTCGCCTGAAAGGGGAGCAGAACCGATGTGGATGAGACAGAGAAGGAAAATCGTGGGCGGTACGTCGATATTGCGGTGTCGCGACGTCCTGCGACTCGGGAATAATGGCGTCGACGGCTGTGGATCTTCCCACGACGCGATCCTCTTTTCCCTCTTCGTTATTTCTGTACCCTGAATACGGTTTTCTACCTTCTACCCGTGCCTCACTGGTTGTTACGTTAATGAGCCGAGCCATTTACTTAAAAATAGATATCATTAGCATAATAACTAGTCCACCTGCTTTTACAAGTTTCTGTCTTCCACTTACAGTACTTACGTTTTACTATTTAAAAGCATACGTATGTACAGTTAAATATGGAGTTAAAAGTGTATATGTACAGTTAAGCACCGTGTAGGGCTTGAAATTTTGCTTCAAGGGTGGAATTGTATGGTAAGTCAGAATATTGTAGAAATTGTTCCTTTGAAAATGTTTTATCCATCACTAGTTGAATTTCCTTTCTAATTTTCATGAAAATCTTTTCTCCTTGCGTCTTCTTCGTTTAAGTTCGTCTTTCCCATCTCTTCTTCTCACTTCTTCTCTTTAAAGTTCATTTAAAGTCCTTTGAAATTGCAATATTTAATTCCAAATAAATGAATTGTTTAATTGCAAACAACCAATTTATCAATGATAAGAACATGACTATACTAGAGGGAATATAATTATAAATATATTATTTTATTGTATTATTGTGACCAAATTCTAAAATCACATTGTTTCTTATCGAAGAGATCAGAAATTACACTTACTAGAAAGACAGTCTACTAGGTGAACTAGGTCCAACTTGGTGGAGCCGCAGCAGGACGTGGGCCGCTATCAGCTGTGAAAACAGCATTGTTTATAGACACCGTGGCACAATGAGGTGTAATTGAATCCATATTCTACCCCGTTGTATCAGGCGGCACTCAACAGAAAGCTAGCGGAACGCCCCTGGTGCCCCAGGGGGTGGTTATACTTAACGGTTCGGAAATCGAGGGTGGTCGTCGATTTGTGGACAATTAGGGGCGATATACGTGTCCCTTGGGACGAATCGAAACAGTTCCCAGCTTCTCTGAGAGTGTTCTTTCCTCTCTTCTTTGTTTTTCGTTATTTAAACAGAATTGGAACAAGTATTTTATATTTGTCGTCAAATATTTAAGAAATATGTACTTTGAAGTAATTCAAGATGCTTAATAGGTACCATTAAATATAACAGAGTACCTAGATATCTCAAGAATTTTAGTATCGTGATATAAATATTTAAAATTGAAGGGAGAGATTCTAGAATTCCTTACATGGATACATTTTAGGGTACGATGTACAACGTTAGATAGTAGATCAGTATGGACGTTGCATTCAGAGCGATGCTACGGTATTACTACATGAATCGCGAATTAATACTTTATTTGTGTGTCACTCCAGCTGCGAGGATCAACACAAGTGCGACCCTCGTGACAAGAGGGTGCTCTTAATGCGCGTCTGATACGCGGAAGGGGCTGCAGCCGCGATTCTATGGTTTGCTAATTTTCACGGGATCACGGTACCGTGACGTTCGAGCCGATTAGGTTCAACCTGGGGTATTGAACTTTCACGCCTCCCCTTAACCGCTGGACTTCTCTATGAAGATGCCCTGAAAAATGATTGAAGCTTTAATTCCATCCTTGTGAATAATAAAAATGAATATATGATCAATTATATTATTATCAAAATGTTGGGGCTTTTTGTCTTAGTTCTGATTGAAATACAATTTCATTTTTAGATAATATGACTGAAGTAAAGAATTAGAAAATATTAGAAAACGTTCGTTTCATATTGGCAAGAATATTATATGTAACACTTGATATTGAAAGATATAAGTGCTAAAAAATTGATGCGCCACGAAGTGGCGCGTGATAAGGGCAGGTGTATGAACACACCTGCGTCAACTGTAGATAAGACTGAACCAGTTTCAATCACCTGACGAATAGCTGTCCTTTTATCAGTTATTAATCTTATTTACTTTTGTAATCATCGCACAGAAAATACTAAGAAATACTGTTAGTATACGATATACTGCCAGTCACTTGCTATCAGTATATCAAATGCTAAAACAAGTTGCATTAAAGCTTCAATGTTTCAAGGAGAATAATTTACCCTTTCAACTTGAAACATTCGTATCTAACTCCTTAATTTACAACGCCCAGTTTTCTCTTTTCCTCTGTCCGTACTCTAAAAGAAAGGAGTACAAATTAGTACAGAACAAAGCATGAGTAAACCAAAGGAAACAGGAAAATATATCAAATTCATAGATAGTGGTTTGAATGTAACCTGAGAGCAGAATTAACAATGTTACATCGACAGACAGGAAGCTGGGGTTCCATTACACATACTGGGGGGTGTTCTGAGCAAAAGAGAGCATCCATCCACCCTTCTGCTCCCCCTCATAGATTTCAGCCCCACAGGCTGAAAATTGGGGCACGCAAATACCTGGGCAGCTGCGTGCTCCAGGGTGTTTTCCGAAGTTCCAGCAAAATCATCGACCCCTGAACAACCCTGTCGGATCATTCTTATCCTTGTAGCTTTCCCTAAATATTCTCCACGCGATTGTACAAGCAGACAATGTAACACTTGATTTGATTGTCGTTGGTGGACGATTAGAAACGGTAAGAATAACGAACTGGGCTGGCTCTTCATTAATTTCTTCTACTTTGTGTCCTGTATTCTTCGACAATTTTCTTCTACATATTAATTATTTCCCAAATTGCATTTGGGTTGCACAAGTTGGATTTAATAAACCAGATTGCGAAAATAGGATTATTTCAGTTCAGTTTAACTGAAATTTAGAAGTGAAGAGATGAGTTTATGCATGAGATGTAGGTACTGTTGGCATGAATGAATGAATAAGTAACATCTTTAGGAGAGGAACATGTAGACAGATAAGAATCTGAAATCCATAGGTGAAATCCAGCGTGAAAACTCGGGCTCGATGAAATCCTATTACTTTACATTGGACATTGTTCTGCTGTAATGCGAAACTGGAGCTTCCCCTCCCCAGAAGATGATCTAAGAATACTGACACGTGAAAAGAAAAGACACGTGCAATACTTTTGCTATATTCTCGCCTTTATGTTCTGTAATATTAATTTCTTAATAACTTTTGCAGAAAAATTGAGGATTAAATTAATGTTATAGTAACGGGCCCATTGGTGAATTTTCACCTCTGCTACAATTACAATTATTTTGTCAGACTTTAATATAATATATATGTCGGAGATGGAAAGACAGCGGGATTTCCCGTCCGGAATGTTGGGAAAAGGCCCAATACACTAGTCCAGACTTTTACTATAGCCGCCCTTAAGTAATAAAAATAAGAAATAGTCTTGATGTTCCAATCTGACTTTAGGACGATGGGTTTGGTCTCGACGTGATATGGCAGGTCATCGGACGTAGCCACGGTCATGGGAGGGACATGTACCTGACAGAGGTATGAAATAATTATATGGCTCTCCTTAAAAACAAAGATTAACCCGAAAGGCGGGGACAGGGTACATAAGGGCAGCCTCTTTTGGATTAAGAGAGTTAGAGTTAGAGTGTTAGAGTCGTTGGACGAATTGCCGATCGAGTGATCCGAATCGAGCAGTACGTTGATACTTGTCCTCCCGTGGATCGTGGATTCGTTATCGAACCTGAATTCGTTGTCACCATCATCTCGACCATCCTATTACCATTACTCATAGCCTCTTGTAGTGTCCACATTCGTACTGATAAATATTGGCTACATCCGCGACGGTAAAGTAAGTAAAGGTTCATCAAGTAAAGGTTCATCGAACGCCCCAAAATGCCAATCTGACTGCGACATATATTTCTCTTGGGTGAATTTTTACCCATCGTACAAATTACCAACTAAAAAGCGAACATCTCTATAGAGAAGTTAATCGTCGACTTTAACATTAACATGGAAATTATTCATTTTCATTGATTTATTTAATTTACGTTGAATATATGAAGAGGATCAATTGGTTGTTTCTGGTAAGAGAGTCTTTCAGCTTTATCCATGAAACATAGCGTATTCGTACAGTCTCGTGTAATATTGATTCGTCGGAGACGAGGTCGCAGGTGAGCCTTCCCACGATCGTTGTCCGGCACTGAGGCAAACGTCAGGGATTTGTCTGGAGATAGCCATCCATGCCTCCATAGACGAGTAAATATACGCTTTTCCTCTTTGTTTCAGAAGAAATCAACAAACTTTCCATCCTATGTTCAAAATGTTCTTCGACAGCCGCTTCAAACCAACTAAAAAGTATATTTCAAGGTACATTAGTTCATAAGTAGGTATTCCTAAGAAAAAATACATTTACTCTAACAAATAAGTAAAATCTAATACATACTTTTATATCTGAAAATAATTCTAATCGTCCGGTCTGTTCTTTGCTAATTTATATTTTTATCAGTATTATTTTGTATGATAAATGAAGAAATTGCTACTAATACTGATATCTGAAACTGAACGGAGCAGCTGTAGCTCTCAGAAGGTACCTTCTCCAAATAATTACTCCTCCTGTTAAAGGATCCATAGAGAAGGAACGGAAGGATCTGGAAGCAGGAGATGCGTGGATCCAGTGAAACGATGCTGTCGTCGTTTACTCTTCTTTTATTACATGCTTCCGTATGCACAGTTACATTACAAAATCGTATCGCACAGTGATTTACATCCCTGGATTCGGAACCGATCCACGCGACTCCGTGACGACGCTTCTAAATGAATCGTGTGCACCAATGACAAATGAAACTTCCAGTTTTAACTTTCTTGATCGATGAACGAAAAAAAATATATATATATGAGAGAGAGAGAGAGAGAAAGAAAGATTTGAGCGTATGATTATACAACGTTGTTGTCAGAAGCGTCGTCTTTAGTCGAGTTAACTCCTTTTATGAGCTCTCGTCCATCCCTTGCACCTGAGGAAGGCCTTCAATCCTCTAGATTCGACAGTGTAAAATCTTAGCAGATGTACATATAAAAGTGAAACTTTCTAGGCATCCAATTCGAAGCAGAGAGCCTAGTCTCGTTGGCGCTGGTTCTCCTGAATTTAAGCCAGTGGCTCTTCTCACTGTTCGACACACGTGCTCTTCACAGTATTATCATATTTTGTCCAATTTAAAATGACAAACTTAAAAAGACATATACGTAGCTTTCACATATAGATTATTGAGAATTTATTAGATAAAACTGAACATCTGAATACTTACATTTTCTTCAAATGTATTTTTCAAGACACTTCTAACACATTCTGAGGGTCGGTTTTCATAATAATGATAATAATAATAATAATAATAATAATAATAATAATAATAATAATAATAATAATAATAATAATAAAATAACGATTCCTTTAGAACTGAAAGTCTTAGATCTGGAACCAAAGAACATATAAAGATAAAAGTTCTAATAAATTAAAAGCTAAAATTAAAATTCGTCGATTAAGCAGCGCATAAAACAAAGTAACCGAGATAGAGCATTGACAGTGTTAAACTCAGGATGCCCCTAGGAAATGGACAAGATTTCGGTGAATCGTTACACTAAACGCGTTAAAAAAACAATCAGCCTTTTCTCACGTTAGAAAATTCAGTTTTTTTTTTCCCCTGTGTGGAAACACATATGGCATTTCGATCGGTATGCTCCTTCCTTTATATCCTTACACGGGTACAATAATAGACGTACGTAGTAGAGGACAGTTTAAAGGTAGCTAGCCACGGAGCAGCCCCGGATTTTTAGCTGCTCATGCTTGTTTCTCACTTGAAAATATACAAAAGACTACCGGAGGACGCGGCAGCCTTTGAAGTGTCCTCGTGATTACACCCTTTTTTTTTATCTTTTTACATAAAGCTACCGCTTTCTACAAATTGCCAGCTGTCCCAAGAACGTGGCCGTGTTTGACCCTTGACCTTTTTACAATATCTAGCACACAGTACGCTTTATATTTAACTGGCGCGTTTCTTGGGAAAACCAACAAGTGCATCGAGACAGATAAGTGTTTGTCTCCTTTCCATTTTCCAGTTTCTTTTCTCTTTCTCTTCGAGTAGAATTATTTTACAATATGAGTTGCTTGTTTCTGTTCGCTCGTCCAGAGATTGGGAGGGATATCAGCTAACTCTCGTAGAAAAATGAAAACACGCTTCACAAACGGCGCCAAGATTGGTTCACTTGCACACTTATTTTTTTTCTTTTTTAATTCTTTTTTAACTGTCCAACAGTGACTCTTAGCGAAGAGATCTCGAGTATCAAAATGCTACGGTTACGATCTGTGCCAATATTTCGGCCAATCAAAGCATTGCTGCCGCCTGGACATTGTGGTTTCATGATTTACAAATGCCTGAATGTCTCCTAACGCCAGTTTCTTGACAAACAAAAGTATCGTACGCGGGACTAATGGGTCCTGTGTATTCCATTTCCACTGTACTCGAGCAGCCTCCAATTTATCGTTCGAATAAATAGATTTTTGCTCATTTGTTTCTCGCTGATTCGTCTTTTGGAACAATTAATTTGTTCGAGAACATCATCGTGAGCATAATAAGTTCTTAATATCAACGAATCTAATGATACATCTAGCCTAAACGCATCAACTCTTGCGTACATAAGTATATACGTACCAAACATTTAAGTTACAATTAAACTACAAGCGAATAGAAAATCCTAATGGACAGAGCCACATTGGGTTTATACAAAATTTATCGGAGAAACATCTTTATCAGAATGTCTTGGTACAATGTTCGTCCAAAAGATTTCAGCGACTTTGAGCGCAAAAACAATTTCCTTTTTTCTTGTCTATTCTGTATAAATCCAATTGCGGCCCAGAATTAGAGAAGACTTTGGTCAAATTAAAGTGAAATTTTCAAGCGACAAAAATCTCCGACAGTCGATCCACATTGGATTTAGGAACACAATAATTTATTTGTACACGAATAATTGAAAAGTGAACACAAAATTAAACGAGAGCATGGAAATGTCGAAATTAGGGAGCGACGTTCTGTTCAATTTACGTTTGTTTCCTTTTATCATCTTCGATCGAGAAAAGGTTTCATCAAGGCGATTCCAGTCCCAAAATCTCGAACAACTTCGTTTTCTAATACGTTGCTCGAGTTTAAAGGGAGTTCAATGATTCGATTGCAAAAATTTGGCACGGTCTGCTGTGTGTAAAAATATTATCGTTAACTGCTCTCTGTTTCAACACCACACTTAATACACGCTTTGTTCTCGCCTCTCTCTCGCTTTCTCTCCCTCACTCTCGCCCTTCTATCGTACCGTATATTATCTTAAACATACAGCGATACTACATTGAAATATAATAAACGCATAAAATACTCTTCATCGGTATAAACGCATTGTTGTCTTTGACAATCACCCGACGTTTTGGAAACCCTTTAAAACTTTTGACTAAGTCATCAGTCATTAATACTCCTTTTTTCATTTACAACAGAGAACACCATATCCATATGGTACACCTTAAAAGATTCAAATATTAATTCATTTATACATAAAATGAAATTTCTAAGAAGCTTGAAAAATTATAATTAATTTAATTTTTTAGTACTTTTGGTATTTAAGTACTATGAAGTAACGAAGAATGTAGTATAATAGGTTCGATTAGGTTCCAAAATGTATGATAACTAGACTACGAATGTTAGTGCAAATTCATATTTTTATGAATAGGTATAATTAAAAAATTAGAACTTAGGCAAAAGTTTGTTTAATCTAATATAAATATTTTATATAGTTTTGCATATATAAATTTGAATGCATAAAAATCTTTAGTGATATAGTGTTCTATGCAAGATACAATCGAGGTACACGAAGAAAACTCGACAGAATTTTAGTAAATCGATTTTCCCTGAGTGGTTGCGTGCTATTCTGAACGCTTGGTGTCCTCATGATCTATCACTAAGTCGTATTATCAACGCGTTTATAGTACAATTTAAGCCTAAAGGTTCCTCTCGGTTCCCTTTAAAATCATTCGCCTATCTTTCCTCGTCGAGAATCGTCTTTCCGCAAAAATAATACTTTCTGATCAAGAACACAACGTGGTAACGTTTTACGAAATCTCATTTCCTACTACAGAACAAAATGTATTAGTATATAAATCCTTACTAGCTAGACATTAAGGACGAAAAAGAAATTCATGAATCTATATTAACTTTAAAACAGATATTCTTTTCAAACGGAAAGACAGATTGTTCCATTTCTAGCAATGTTACTATTTTATCAATTCACTTATTAATTTTTTATTTTGGTGAACCGAGAGACAGAAAATTAGTCTCCCCATAATAATCATTTCCTTATTCTCAACGAATCGAATATCATTCATACAAATGCAGCTCTTATACTGAGCAAATGTCCTTTCATGAAAATTTTCATAATTCAATTATTTAACAATGATTTTTTTTTTGATTATGCGTCTCGTATCGACAAAGGTCGAAAATTCAATATTCTTGATAGTCTAGTCGAAGTAGACTGTATGCTGCCATCGAGAAAGACAAGGTACAACAAAAAACAATCGCAAATGAACTCTCTATGCGAAAACGAAGCGCGTGTGCAACATTCTGTCTAGAAATAACTTCAACCGTTTCCTCAATTTCCATGTAACGGTCGTAGTTCGATCATCCGCTCTGAAGAAACCATTAAAAACCATCATACTATAAAGAATTATAACTATTCGATCCGTTTCACGGCCATCTTCATTGATGGAAGGCAGTGCTCGAGTTATATATCTAAGTATATAATTTTACATGTATAAGATTAGAATTTACATCGGTTCCAGCCGTGAGACGGATCAATTACGAGACATTTACAAATTTAATTTTAAAGATGTAGTCATTTTTGCGAAGCGTCGACAGTGGTGCGCTAAAGAGAACCCGAGAAACGAGTTTTCGTTTGTAAGATGGCGAAAATGAGATGTCTTCGTAGAAAAGATGGGTGACTTTGCCGTACCACTAGACTCATACGCAATTTTCCTTTTTTTTTTCTTTTTTTATATAAAATGTACACCTACTTCGTACCATTATTGCTATTCGTCGCGATAGATTAACTTATAGTCTAAAATTTGTACATCTGCGGATTTACTGTTTCATCATACGATGTCGATGACAATGATGAATGATGATGATGATGTAAAGATTGTCTCAGACGTGCTCGATGACGTGCAATCAAAGGAAAAAACAAAAAGAAAAAACGTATCTCTACTTCTAGATTGCTTCTTTGTTCGAATTTGCAAGGCCTCTGTTATCGCGTTTGTATGTAAAGCTTACGTAACGTTTGAACTGACAAAACTGCTCTCGAAAATTCGCCAAGTAATGATACAAACATACATAACGCGTGTATTCGCACGCAATAAAATCGTGAATTACAAGTATCGATAAATGCAAATATTTTCTTCCCGCTGTGTAGAAACTTTCCTTAGTTAGTATGCATTAATCTATCGAATTGATCACACTGTATCGAGCAGAGACCAGTCAGAGATCGAACCAATCAGCAAAGAAGCACGAAGGACAAACGACTTCCCTGTGTTCGTGTTTTAAGGATGGTAGCGCGTTTCGGTCGGCGATGAGAGGTCATCACGCCTGCTATCCAATGCAGTATATTCTTCCTTATTTTCCATCTATCTTCAGCTGGGTTTTCCAGGTGGTCCATGGCTGGGTGGAGAAGGTCCATGTGAATGAAGGTTATGAACATTACCTACTTGATTACTTGCCAAACTGGACATTGTGGGTTGGTACATTGAAGGTATGTAATTGCTCGACGACTGTGGCACTGACCTGAAACATATCAAAGCTCCACCTACTTTCCACGGAAATACGTTTAGCTATATGACATTTTACTCAATAGTGCAGTTTCCAACGCCACATTTTAACTAAATCAAATATTGCAAGCCAAAGAAAATAAAAGTGTCGATTTTTACCTTGGTACTCCGCGTAGAGGATCTGGTGTAACGGACGAATTCCTGACCACACCAGGATTACTAGCTGGCGCAGGGGAGACTATATTACTAGGCTGTCCTTGGTGGTACGCGCTTCCGGCCGGGCTGTGTCTGTTCACATTAATTAGGAAAAAGTAAATTCTGCAGTATCAGTACGTGTGATATTGAATACAGGACAAATATATTACCTGATCGTTGGACTTGGCTGAGGCGCGACTAACGACGTCCTGTGTTGATACTGTGAAAGTGAAGCTGCAGCTGGAGGTGACGGATCCGGAGGCAGGCCATTTTCTAGCGTCGTAGAGTGATTACTGGAGCTCGAGTGTGGCATGTACGTGTTATTTACTCGTGTTTCCCTGCTCACCCT